AATAAGCGCCTATTAATTCAAACACATGTTAATAATTTATTTAATATAGACGCAATAAAGAGTGAATCTTCGTTTAATTTAAGACGTTTCATAGATCAGCTGAATAAAAGCCTGAGAGCTTTAGAGTCGCTGGGCGAACCGACTGATCATTGGGACACTCTTCTCATCCACATGATGAGTCGTAAAATCGAACAGAAGACGCTGCGTGAATGGGAAGAGTGCAAAGGTCGTCTTGATAAAGAAAAGCCCATTTCTTTGTCCATATTTCTCGATTTCATTCGTAACCGGGCCGATCTATTAGAAACGATGGAATTTACTCGCCCTAACCTTCCTCACACACAAGTTCAGCCACCACAGTCGCCTAAAGGTCAGAAAATTAAAACATTAGTTTCTGTCTCCGGAACGCAGCCGTCGTCGAGTGGCGGCGCTAGTATTATTTCTGGTTCCGGTACAACATCGTGCCCACACTGTAAGGGTGAGCATTATCTTTATAATTGCGATAAATTTCTGAGCCTTAATAGTGAGCAGAGATGGGAATTAATTCCTCAGCTCAAGGTGTGTTACAACTGCTTTCGTAGTGGTCATTATTCGAATCGCTGCAGAAAAGGTGGTTGTACTTTATGTAAGCGTAGGCATAATACGCTGCTGCACACCTCTTTTAATAATAAACAGAGAATTAATCAGCCCGCTCCTAGGCATGACACTACGGCAATCGCTTCCGCCATCCAGCCTGAACCTCCTGGTAACCACGGCCTAACGTTAGCCACGTATTCTGCCGCCGCACCTTCAGAGATTAGTAAAAATGGTATATTTGCGACGGCTCTCGTTAAAATTGTCGATAGTAATGGTCACGAGCACATCATACGTGCTCTTCTGGATTGTGCGAGTTCGTCTTGCATCATTAGTGAGAAAACTGGTCGCTTATTGAATGCCAAGTATATTAATATAGATAAACCTATTTTCGGCATCGATAAGACTAGAACTAACACTTCAAAAATGTGTTGTTTCTTTCAGTTCACGCACTGAAAATTATTCCAAATGTCTTCTTTGTTATGTATTGCCGTCCATAACTGATGACGTGCCTTGCCATTCATTTGATGTTTCGCATTTAAATATTCCCGCTAATATTATTTTAGCTGATCCCCAATTTTATATGGCGTCAGAAATTGACATGATAATTGGATCTAATATCTTTTGGGATCTGCTCGGGACGCGAAAGATCAATCTGGGAGATAACATCTCTATCCTCTGGGAAACTCGACTTGGCTGGTTGGTGGTTTCCGGGGATCTAAGTGATGGTCATGGATATGCTCCCCTAATGTGCAACTTTACAAAACTTACAGACATTTCTCAAGATCTTGATCTCGGCGTTGATGACACTCAGAACTTGCTGTCGCGGTTCTGGCAGCCGAAGGAAGTCGGCCTTAAGTCATCATACTCCGAGGAGGAACGAAAATGTGAAGAACATTTCGTTAAAAATACGAAGCGTCTAGCTGATGGTTGTTTTCGTATGCGTGTACCCTTAAAACGATCTGCGGACTGGTTAAGTGACGGACAACTCTAGTTACCTTGCCGTAATGTCTTAAGCAGATCGGCCTTAAATGCAGTGACAAGAAGATCTCAGAGATCATCATTCACGACTTCTACGTGAATGATTTCCTCACGGGGTCTGACTCATTTCAGGAGGCGTTGGACATTAAGAAAAAGTTGCCGCCGCAGAGCTCGCCTGCGCCAGGATGCCTCTGCGCAAGTGGAAGTCCAACGATCCTCTACTCTGTCTTACTAGTGATCCGTGCGACGATAGTTCGTCCCTCAGTTTAAATATCGGATCCCTTGAGTCGTGTAAGACATTAGGCCTCAATTGGCAGACAGCCACAGATGAGTTTTCTTTCTCTGTCGATTCGTGTGAAGCCTCGCCTTCTACGAAATGCTCTATGCTTTCTGTCACTGCACGCATTTTTGATCCCATGGGGTTAGTTTCTCCCTGCATCGTTCCTATTAAAATACTATTGAAGCGGCTATGGGTTCATAAGGTTATCATGGGACGAACAGCTCCCATTTGAAATAGCCAAAATTTGGGCTAATTTAATTAAAAGTCTTCCGCTTTTAAATAATTTACGCATCCCTCGCCTTATTGGTTGCGAGGCTTATACTTACGTGGATCTCCACATGTTTACAGATGTGTCGCAAAGCGCATATGGTGCTTGCCTTTACGTGCCAAGCGCGGACGTGTATGGACGAATCAAGGTCTCGTTACTTATTGCCAAAAGTAAAGTAGCTCCATTAAAGCTAACGACGATCCCTCGGTTGGAGCTCTGCGGGGCTCTGGTAGGAGTGCGCCTCTATGAGAAGGCTATTGATTCACTCCGGGTTCAGGTCAGGCATACTACTTTTTGGACTGACTCGACGATTGTGTTAGGCTGGCTTAAAATGTTGCCTAGTAAATTACAGCCTTTCGTTCGCAATCGTACGGTGGAGATCATGGAGAAAACCGTGAACTGTACCTGGCGTCATGTTCCCACTGATGAAAACCCTGCTAATCATATTTCTCGCGCCGTCGAAGTCGTAAATTTGCAGGGTCTAGATCTGTGGTGGTCAGGTCCTCAATTTCTGCAGCAAGACTGCTCTCAGTGGCCTTCCAATTCAGGCCGGTACAGCGACTCCAAACTCCCTGAAGTTCGTCCTGAAGTCTCGTTGCACCTTTCAGTTCCACGTGATGATTCATTTATTGATTTCAGCCAATTCTCAAACCTGTCTCGACTAAACCGTGCTGTAGCCTATGCATTGAGATTCATAAATGTATGCAGAAAGCTATATCCATAAATCAGTCATTTAAGCTCTAAAGAGTTACAGAACGCTTTGAACTTGATTATTAGGAAAGCTCAGTCTGATTCGTTTGTCGAATACAAGCTCCTAACTCAGGGACATTCGTTATCTCCTAAAAATCCCCTCAACAAGTTCAATGTCTTTCTTGATGACGCTCAAATTATGCGTGTTGGTGGCAAGTTTGGAAACGCGTCGGAGTTTTCGTATGAGAAAAAATATCCTATAATCCTACAGTCCACTCACATTCTCACAAAACTCGTATTCAAGGCTGAACATATTAGGCTTATGCACGCTGGACCCCAACTATTATTAGCTTCTATAAGAGAAGTCCACTGGCCTATTGGCGGTCGCAATTTGGCCAAGACCACTTACCATAATTGTATAAGATGTATTCGCATGCGAGCACAAACAGTTACTCCTCTTATGGGAAATTTACCTGTGCACCGCCTCACTCCTGGTCGCCCGTTCGAGTGTGTAGGCATCGACTACGCTGGACCCATCTCGTCCGCTAACCGCCTTAGTCGAGGTTGTAGAATCGTTAAGGTCTACATCGCGATTTTTGTATGTTTCAAAACAAAGGCGATCCATATCGAATTAGTAGGTGATTTAACCAGCAATAGTTTTCTCTCTGCGCTACGCCGGTTTGTATCGCGGAGAGGTAAGGCTACTCATATATATTCGGACAATGGTACATCATTCGTCGGTGCGTATAAATAAATCGGTACATTCTTAAAATCCAATTGCAATTCTTTGCCTGATGCTTTGGTCGAAGAAGGTATTAACTTCCACCTGTGTCCACCTTACTCTCCTCATTTTGGGGGTCTTTGGGAGGCGGGGGTTAAATCTATTAAATTCCATATGCACAGAGTATTGGGAAATTGTAATTTAACTTATGAGGAATTGATCACTGTCCTAACGCAAATCGAAGCAATATTGAATTCTCGGCCGCTGACTCCACTATCAAGCGATCCCGATNGTTCGTCGAATACAAGCTCCTAACTCAGGGACATTCGTTATCTCCTAAAAGTCCCCTCAACAAGTTCAATGTCTTTCTTGATGACGCTCAAATTATGCGTGTTGGTGGCAGGTTTGGAAACGCGTCGGAGTTTTCGTATGAGAAAAAATATCCTATAATCCTACAGTCCACTCACATTCTCACAAAACTCGTATTCAAGACTGAACATATTAAGCTTATGAACGCTGGACCCCAACTATTATTAGCTTCTATAAGAGAAGTCTACTGGCCTATTGGCGGTCGCAATTTGGCCAAGGCCACTTACCATAATTGTATAAGATGTACTCGCATGCGAGCACAAACAGCTACTCCTCAAATTTACCTGTGCACCGCCTCACTCCTGGTCGCCCGTTCGAGTGTGTAGGCATCGACTACGCTGGACCCATCTCGTCCGCTAACCGCCTTGGTCGAGGTTGTAGAATCGTTAAGGTCTACATCGCGATTTTTGTATGTTTTAAAACAAAGGCGATCAATATCGAATTAGTAGGTGATTTAACCAGCAATAGTTTTCTCTCTGCGCTACGCCGGTTTGTATCGCGGAGAGGTAAGCCTACTCATATATATTCGGACAATGGTACGTCATTCGCCGGTGCGTATAAACAAATCGGTACATTCTTAAAATCCAATTGCAATTCTTTGCCTGATGCTTTGATCGAAGAAGGTATTAACTTCCACCTGTGTCCGCCTTACTCTCCTCATTTTGGGGGTCTTTGGGAGGCGGGGGTTAAATCTATTAAATTCCATATGCACTGAGTATTGGGAAATTGTAATTTAACTTATGAGGAATTGATCACTGTCCTAACGCAAATCGAAGCAATATTTAATTCTCGGCCGCTGACTCCACTATCAAGCGATCCCGATGACATGATGCCGCTTACTCCTGGGCATTTTCTCATTGGCCAGCCCCTTACTGCAATGCCTGCTGCTGAGTACAAGGACTGCCGGCTAAGCAATCTCACCAGGTTCCAGCGGTTAGAGCTTATGCGACAACATTTTTGGGCCAGATGGTCAAAGGAATACATTAGTGAGCTGCAGCAAAGAACAAAATGGCGCACCAATCAGTCATCGCTGAAGCTTCACAGCCTGGTTGTGGTGAAGGAAGACAATCTCCCGCCACTTAAATGTAGACTGGACCACATAGTAGCTGTCTATCCAGGGTCCGACGGAGTCAACCGGGTCGCAGACATTCGTACCTCAAGCGGAGTCATCAAGAGATCTTTTAATAAGATTTGTCCCCTGATTGCGGATTAGTTTTGGGTTGAAAGGAAACCTTTCAACATCCGGGGGCATGTTTGGCACCGCAGTAAAAAGTTTAGTTGCAAAGCAACAGAGCTGTCATTTATATTTTTATAATTTTTAAATTTTGTTTCTAAAGTCATTATGGAATAAACTGTCAGCCATGAAAGTCGCATCATAATTTTATTTTATTGTAAAAATCTTCCTCCTCACAAATATAAATATCTAAATAAGAAACCGTCCGCTACAAACAGTCAACTTCAGATTTTACTCTACTTACTAGTTTACATGTTCATTTACTTTACTTATTAGGGCAAACTAAGAAATATATTTATCCAGAATTCAGTAGTATTTTTAGTCAATACATTTGTAACTAACGTCCCATTAGTGACACTTCTACTCTATCCTTTTATCCATATCCGATCCAGCCGAACGGGCAACGCAAAGCAACCGTCGCCCAAAACATATGGGCTTATGGGCTATTATTATTTATTTATGGGCTTCGGTAACCACTTATCACCACGTGGGCCGTGAGCTCGTCCGCCCAACTATGCAAAAAAAAGATGTTTTAGGCATCCCTTGGATCCACTCTCGGTGCTTTTGGGCTCTTCAAGCACTGGTCACCGTCTAAGAGTTGAGGAGCGAACTAACCCACTGAGTTTCTCGCCGGATCTTCTCGCGATTCGGAACCGGTGGTAGATATTGCGAAGTCTTGCTCTTGCTAGTGCTACAAATTTTCTCAGGTCGAACCCATGATTTCAACTACCCATCCACTGGGTAGTTGAGTTCAATAATTAGCAACTTCTTAAGCTACCAGTGAATAGGTAGGGGAAAAAATCATATTAATCATATATCGTTCTATTACTTAATATGTGCAACCCTGAACAAAAAAAGAATAAAGTATTTTATTACTACATATAAAAATTTATGAGTGGTCGTGAGACCTCATCTGTTGCGTTTGCCGGAGCGCAGTCACCAGAACAATAATATTGCCACTCGTTTTGAAACAAAAGGTCTCTCAACTGTATCGTTTAATGGTTGTCGTATTTTTCAAAACGAAACTGATATATTTTTAGCGGCAGAAATAGACAGGATGATGTTACTTACTCTTTTATTTATTTATTGCTTAGATGGGTTGACAAGCTCACAGCCCACCTGGTGTTAAGTGGTTACTGGAGCCCATAGACATCTACAACGTGAATGCGCCACCCACATTGAGATATAAGTTCTAAGGTCTCATTAAAGTTGCTACGGCTGCCCCGCCCTTCAAACCGAAACTTATTACTGCTTCATGACAGAAATAGGCGGCGCGGCGTGATGGTACCTACCCGTGCGGACTCGCAAAAGGTCCTAACACCAGTAATTACGCAAATTATAATGTTGCGGGTTTGATTTTTATTACACGATGTTATTCCTTCACCGTGGAAGTCAATCGTGAACATTTGTTAAGTACATTTTTCATTACAAAAATTAGTACCCACCTGCGGGATTTTAACACCGTTGCATCGCTAGATAAGATTGCACCGGACATCTTATCCTTTAAGCCAGGACGACTTCAATAGGCTCTACCATGAGTAAATGGTGCTATTTAATACATTGAGAACCCTGCTGCTGCATTCTCCAGTGAATCTTAGTCACGGAAAAAGTGTGATATTATCAATGCCGACACAACAGCAATCACTTAAATGTTTTTTTCATTGCATAGTACTCAAAATTTATTAAGTATCTATCGTCTGCGAATAAGGGATGGAGGATTGCAGTGTCCCTTTGCGTTGCTACTAAACCATATTTTCTTCTGTCTTTGAGTAATCAACTTTTATTTTATTGCCCTTGTAGGTTAAGTACTTTCCACAAGCCTCGTTTGAAGAAGGACATGTCATAGCTCTCGGGAAACACCGCGAAGGGGAGCTATTAGCTCGCGCTGTCATAACCCTTCTCCATCCCGCCATGAGTTAGGGGTAGCGACCGCGATCATCATAAGAAGCACGGCCACCTGAAAAAACAAACTACATCGATCACAATGAGCTAATTGCCAAGGCTGTTCCATGATAGTTCCATTCCAATAGATCGGAATGCGCCAACCACTCGACCTAAGTATCAACTTTAGAGAACCATAGCGCGTCATCTCGCCCTAAAGCTGACCATCGAGGAAGATACAAAAATGCGTACCTACTTAACCAAACCCAAGAAGTGTTCATGCAGGAATTTAATTTTGTAGACGGATGATAACAATTTCTGCCGCGAATTAGGCACGTATTCAAAGCCGCTATACAATACGTCTAAGGCTCCGTGTCTTAAGACAAGCTTAAGCGCCCCACTGGCCTATTCACATTGTGATTTGTATGGACTCTGATAATCATGATACCGATACCAGATGGGCCGTGAGGATGTTCACTATCTAGACTAAAAACCAATACCCTAAACATATGAAATATCATAGTAAAGTTGTAAAAATAGGTCAGAACTTGGCTGGCATTGCTGACAATAACAACTCACCATTAGGTGGCCATATGTTCATTGGCCTAAAAATGTGTGTATGTAATAAATAAAACATTATACAAATAATAACTATTTATTCATTTATACTGTCTGCCGCTATTTGATGTAGCTCCATAAGTGTACCATACTCAAGTTGATCCTCTAACTGTTTGGCTTTCTGTATTAAAGTATCACCCGCACCTTCTCCTTGAATATAAGAAAGAAGTCTTCTCATTGCTTGATATGCTTCCATAACTGATGTTGACTGCATATTCTTATCCAAAATAATTTCTCTGGTATTCAAAGCATATTTATCAGATTGATTCAAATTAAAGCATGGTATTTTTGCATCGCATAATATGTATTTATCTAATGCACTTGGAGTTAAATTAACATCTAAATTAATGTTATTTTCTTTACACCACTTAGTGATACTGTGATCACCATCATCACCAGATTCTATATTAAACAATAAACTACCATCATCAAGAGGAGAAAATAACAATCGAATATATCTATTTGAAACATAATACCAAGCTAAACTCATGAGGTGAATGTAATCTACAACTGTAAGTTGATCAGGTTCATAATTTTGTAAAATTGTTTTATTGATTAAATTTTTCCTATAATGAAATTTAAAACACTCAATTATTTTTTCAGATGCCTTCAGAACATATATATAATGGGTTATGTTTAAAATTCTAATATTTTCACATCCTAGGTAAGGAATGAAATTATTAGGTACATTCAATAACAGGAATATAGATTTATTTTCAGCTTTTAACTCAATATCCCACTTTTTTAAATAATTTGACAATACAAACTGATTCATCTGTGGCTGAGCACCATTATAGTAAATAATTGGAAGACTGCAAACATTTACATCTAAAATTTCTTGTCCCACAATAACTAATTGTTTTTTATCATTTCCGGTGGCATTGGTAACTAGAAATACGCAAGCAAAATTATCTATATTTTCTCCATTGACATACTTTTTCAAGTCATACTTATAAGTCAATGAGCAGACAGCTCCAATATATAAATCATCCATATTTTTTTTATGTAGAAAATTTAGCCATTCTTCTTTTGCTGAGAGAGAACATTTAATGTATGATTTGTAAGCAATAATGTTATGTCGTAGTCTAAAATCTAATAGCCAGTCTTTTGTACATGTAGAAGATATTTTATTGAGAGTTCTTACTAGATTTGTTGCTTTACTCTGCAACTGCTCTTCATTTATAGTATTTCCATTTTGAGTTTCTGATTTAAACCATTCAAAGAGAACTTTATCGAGGTCTACAGAACGTACATCTTGTACTAGTGTGCTGTATGTCTGTGTGTACTTGTGTAAAATATACTCTTTCTTCCTGTACATATTACTTATTGTTTGAGGATTCACACCATATTTTTTTGCGATTTCCATCTTGCATTGACCATTATCTAAAGCGTTAATTATTTGTAACTTTGTCAAAGGACCTATTTTTTTATATCCTTTCTTGGGAAAGATATGCATTAATTGAGATAGATCTTCTTCGTTCTTAGTACCAGGGTTCCAAAACGACATCCTTACACTGTTTTTATTTGAAAAACTGAATTTCAATTGGATACCGACATACGTATTATATTTAATAAGAACCTTTTTCTCAAGGCGTTTAAGTAATTTTAATAATTTTTATTCATCTATCAGCACTGTAAAATGTAAGCAATAAAATTATTGTATACCTTTCTTATACATTTGAATAGTATTGTACTCATCAAATAAGCAGGTATACGAAATTGACATTACAATGACATATATCATACTACTCAATAAAGATGTGTGGTTCCTGAGTGAATGGTATTAAAGATATAGATTACTCACCCCGATAGAATGTATTGAATCACTAACTCACACTAGCTCCGACTGTTTTTTTATTTTTTTATTGCTTAGATGGGTGGACGAGCTCACAGTCCACCTGGTGTTAAGTGGTTACTGGAGCCCATGGACATCTATAACGTAAATGCGCCACCCACCTCGAGATATAAGTTCTAAGATCTCAGCATAGTTACAATGGCTGCCCCACCCTTCAAACCGAAACGCATTATTGCTTCACGGCAGAAATAGGCAGGGCGGTGGTACCTACCCGCGCGAACTCACAAGAGGTCCTACCACCAGTAATTACGCAAATTATAATTTTGCGGGTTTCACTTTTATTACACGATGTTATTCCTTCACCGTGGAAGTAAATCGTGAACATTTGTTGAGTACGTAATTCATTAGAAAAATTGGTACCCGCCTCGGATCCCGATGGTACCCACCTGTATCAGTAACTCAGTTCTAGCTCACTAGATCACCAGCTGATTTGTCTCATGACATGTATCGTTCAATTGATGAGCGAATGAAAGAAAAATGAATGAGTGAGATAGATGCATATTGTGCTTGACGCTAATTTCGTTTCGACGTATTCGGTTGTCAAGGAAAAATGTACATTATTTCTATAGAAGCAAAGCTTAACATAACTCATGTTTTTTTTAAACTAAATTTATATTGCTTTATTCCTATATAAAAAGGTAACTATTAATTTTCAAAGTTAATATTACGAATAATGCTATGCTATATCAAAAACAATATATATTTTTAAGTTTCTTAATGTGCTTAGTTCTATGGTAAGCTGCATGATGTAAATGTTCATAAAACATTGTAAATATACTATATTGTGTATTAGTAAGTGTATATAATATAATTATATTTTTTTTTTTTTTTTTTTTTTTTTTTTTTTCATGTGTTTNGCAGCAGCTTCGCCACCCCCACGGCCAGGGACTGGCCCCACACGGGCGCCCCGTATAGGGCCATTGATCGCACCACCCCCGTATAGAGACGGCGCGTCACCTGGTCAGGCCCCCCGACGTTGGGCAGAAGCCGGCTTAACGCGCCGGCCACCCCCAACAAACGAGGGACCAGGTTCTGAAAGTGAGCACGGAAGGTCCAATGTGCTTCACGCTAATTTCGTTTCGACGTATTCGGTTGTCAAGGAAAAATGTACATTATTTCTATAGAAGCAAAGCTTAACATAACTCATGTTTTTTTTAAACTAAATTTATATTGCTTTATTCCTACATAAAAAGGTAACTATTAATTTTCAAAGTTAATATTACGAATAATGCGATGCTATATCAAAAACAATATATATTTTTAAGTTTCTTAACGTGCTTAGTTCTATGGTAAGCAGCATGATGTAAATATTCATAAAACAGTGTAAACATACTATATTGTGTATTAGTAAGTGCATATAATATAATAATATAGGCCCTGACATTTACAAACTGAACTGACCATTGTAAATATTCCAATACAAAGTGAGTGATATATGTATACTGAGCTAAGTGATCTAGACGAAGAAATGAAATAATTGAGAGAGCAATCAATTGAATTGGATCACTGAGCTAGTGATCTAAATGAATGATATATAACTTTAGAGCGAAGTGATATTATGTATCTATCTTTTCAGCTCAGTGATACATTTTGCACATCATTACTATAATATATTAGTTTGTGATTATTTGATATTAGGCAAATTACATACATCCTGTATTATCTATGCTGTATCACAGATTATATTAGTGGTCGTATTTTAGCGGGAACGCGAGAAGTGAAATTGTGTGATTTGTTTTATTTTGTCTATTTAGTGTTTCTTCAGGTTTAAATGTGTAATAACGGTGGTTTATTAACTTTTTAATATCTGTGAAAGTGCACAAATGTGGGAAAATGAAACAAAGCCGCTAGACGTAACTTCTCGTGATCCTACCAAAAAGTCCACTGAAAAAATCTCAGTAAATGATGACCATTTTATTGAGATTATATTTCATCCTGTATCATATCATCTCATTTGATTTAATTTCATTCGAATTGATTAATGTCTCTAATTAATCATTTTCATTTCATTTCATTTCACTCCATATTATCATTGTTCATAAAAATAATAATATATTAATAAAATAAGACATGACCTAAGGGTCTTAGTTACCAGGTTATAAAATCCCTTTAAAAATATTCTATTAATTTAATTAGCACATTCGGCCAAAATAATATTTTCTACCATTTGGAATGCAAATGTGATATTAATAGCGTTACATTTATAGAGTCCTCATAATCCTATTAATTTCGACTTTCGGTAGGTTATTCAAATTTTGTTCTTTTCAAGAGATATTGCCGTATTATTTTGATTGAACATGCAGTTAAATAGATTTATACATTATAGGTACGGTAGATACGCAAGTTGCTCTCTATCTGGTGATAGGAGATCAATATTTTCTACCAGTCCACGTGAATATTTTCTACCACCCTGACTAATTCGGACTCGACGCAATCATACGTTTTGCTTTGAACGGTGGGCTGCCGTTAAACAATTTAATTGGACTTGGACCAAATGTCTCAAGGTGGGTGGCTGTAGATTCCGAGAATATCTTTTGTCAGTTGGGTCATGAGCTATTTTACATTTCTAGAGCAATAGACAATATAATATTATTACAATTTAATATTTATTTATATGACTATTTATATCACACAAAAATTGCAACTCCTTTTTCAAAGGTATTACGTCAAGAAGAAAAGGCCTCGCTGGGTTTGAAAACTGTTCGAATGAATCCTTCCCGAAATTATTTTTTGTGAACAAATGTTATTTTTGTTTTCAGCGAGTTAGGTCAAGATATGAAACGCTCGTAATAGTCCAGGAAATGACCGTTATTAATGCGCGATGTTTGTTTCTTAATTCTTGAAGTTTGATTCAATCTTCCAATTGTTCAAATTAAAACGATTCAGTCAATGACGCTCTAATAAATTAAATTTCATCAAATTATTCTGCCACGTTGGGTAAATGGTATATCTCAAAGTAGGAAGTCGATCGAGAAAATTTTGCAATATTGTTGATACTGATAAAATTCCAAACTACCCGCAATACTTTTAAATCCGAAGCTATTTCAAATTCCAAATCTGTGACTTTTAAACCGGTTTTTAATAAAACATGCAATTCGCTAGCTTCTGGCTTAACACATTGACACTGGATGTTTTACGTAGTAGAGAAGTACCTTTTATGAGTTATTACCAAGTTGTTGCGTGACTGTTAAAAATTAAAATCATATACATTTTTTTGTATTTAAATTTATTGTAATTTAATTGTTTTGACGAGTTCAATATTATTACTACATAACTTAATACTATATAAACCATTTCGTTAAGCATTGAAAACGAAACGGTAACTACGTGTAACAAAACATCTGTAACATAAAATATTCTAAGTTTGCTACGCGTATAATTTCATCGTAACGAGTTGATTATTTTCATTATTGTAAATACTATATTATACCTGATGAAAATATCTACCTATTAAGCTTTGAAAGAATTTCATGGTAGTCTACACGAAAACCACAAAAGACAGTCAATCAGAGTGATATTTTGAAAAAAAAAAAGGCTTTTTTATAAATCGATTCACAAATATTTCTACAATGTACTGGTCAAATGTACAAAGCTGTTCCAAAGTTGCAATGTTCAGAGCGCTGATTACATACATACATGCTGCGATGCGATGCATGCGAGCTGAGGCTCGGCGAGGCATAAGGCCCATACATGTAAAAAAAATTCTAAGGTCGCTTTTGTTGCCATATTTTCAAAATGAGATTCAATTCAAAATACAGAAAGCACTATGAAAATCAACTCGAAATTAGGATCAGTTAGTTTGCTCCGTCTTCATTTTCGCAACGAATAGGGATTTTTTTCGATAAGGGTCTAGAAAACGGTTTCCTAGAAATTCTAACAAATTATAAAATTACACCTTCTCGTAAAAAGTTCCAGAAAAGAAACTATAACCAAAGAAGAAGATTTAAAACTGAAGAAAAAGAATGGACTTTCCTTATTGGAAGAGGCCTAGCAGATAGATGGTGACTAAATATTAATTTGTATTATTCCCATATACTCTTTTAAGTGAGTTTTTCACAAAACTGTATTTTACCAACTGATTTCCATCCCAAAAATAGTTTAATCAATTTGTTTGATTTTTAATCATAGATTTGGAGCATGGTTATTAATCGTATCGAAGAAATCAATGTTAAAAAACAGGGTCATTGCCTTATGTCATGTTTGCTGACACACGCAAGTCTTGTGGTGTTGCATGTTCATTTTTGTTATCAAATTATCTGTTTCCATTAGTAGGTATTTTTACTCTAGTAAAAAGTAGATAATAACTATTATTATACTTACCATTTATGTCATATTATATTACATCTATATATCTACACTTTCCATCTATAGTGTAAGAAAAATGTTCATCATATGTGATTGCATTGCACGACACAAATGACATTATTACATAATTTGGGTTATTTTACATTATTTCATATTGAATTTCTTTACTCCACATGAACTATAAATTATAATCTAAATATTTATACATTATAAACTCTTGCAATGGTTCCAAATGAAACATCTATGAATTAATTGGAAGGCAGGCAGGTAAACACAAAAGGTTAGAATTTTTTTATATAAATAATAATGATATATGTTTTACAATAAAATTTATATAAGTACTCTCCTAAGCTGTTAGGCATTATAAACATTATAAACGTAAGACACGCGACTCGTCTTGTCACTGGCTAATCTATAGGAAAACTTTATTGATTCATATCGTGCTAAACAGTACGACCGCAGAGATTACACACGAATGGCAGATTTACGAACGCGAAGCTTTCCGCGAGCCCGAGGCAAGTGGAAAAAGGATTGTCTTTGGATTTCCAATCGAATAGTAAGTGATAGAGACATATTTCATATACGAATACCGTTTTATTTCATGTCGTTTCTTTTATACCGCCATCTTTAATTTTATTCTTGTTAAACAATAAATAGAACTTTTAATGGTTTTTTTTTATTCAAGTTTAGCCTTACAGGAAAATAAAGCAACGCGCTGTGACAGTATGAGCGAGGAAATATTATTTTAGTGTTGTTTTTGTTCCTCAAGCCCTTTTTTCACTTGGCCCTTGTTTTGTGTGGTTGTTGACGAGGAGGAGGGTTGCGCTCGCGACTGTGCGGGGTACTGGTTGAAGATGTGCACGTGTGTGACGCGACGTCAGTCCGCCTCGTGCTCGTGCAGCTGAGCTAGCAGCGCCGCACGACGCGACTCCAGGTCGGCGTCACTCCACGCCGCACCCGACCTGCGCCAACATCAACCAACAACCGCCACGTCATTCATGCACTGTTACTCGATACTAGTACACGCACTAGCACTAGTGATGCACGTTATGTCGTGAGACCCGAGTTTGTGACGTAACATTTTTATCGCAAATTCTGTTAATGATTACTTTAAAAGGTTACCATAACTTATATACGTATAATCCTCAAGACGTGCATTTTTGTGTATTATAAATCATCGATTACAACAGTGTTGCAACTGAAATTTTAAATTAATTCACTTAACATGTTCTGGAACAATCGAGGATATTTTCAGATGTACATTTAATATTATTAGAATTATTTTTCTCAATGGTATCAGCGTATTATAAAGTATTGTAAGCTCTTCGATTACACACATCACAAAGTCGGATCTCAGGTGAAAAAGAATGCTAGTGGGCCGAGTTATGACCACAAATTATGAAACTATCTATTTGTGTCGTGAGGAAACATTTGTTCCGGCTTCGAGGGTAGGATAGCCGTTACTCAAATACAAATGAGACTTGTTTTTGTATTGCGTTCGTAGGTGGATGACGTCAGCCTACTAGATGTCAGCAATGCCAGGGACAGAGCCAAGCCGTTGCCTGCCTTCGTTATTTATTAATTTACTAAAACGCTAAGTGTATAAGTTTTGCAAATGAATACTTTTAAATACAATGATTCCCATTTCCCGCAAGGATGTACAGTGTACTACCTTAACGTGAACGGAAAATAAAAATCATCTGCTAAATCAAGCAACTTTTTTATTGCTGTCGAAGATAGGTGGTAGTACAACGCACCGGAGGATAAGTGATTACCGCTGCAAGATATTTCTAACTAATCATTACGTTTTTCGTGAACCCGCAATGTAAAAGGTACAAAATTTGGCGGTGAACTTCCGCATTTTCGACTGCTGCGATACAGAAATAAAATCAAACTCATGTTACACAAATAGTAGTCATGCGAGATAAATTAAGTAAGGGTCAGTTATATTATACACATTTTGACAAACAATTAGTTTCTTGTTGATCTTAATAGCGGATGTTTACATTGCGGGCTCACACTTTGAAATTATTGAGACGAAGCCTGGATTTTTCAAAGTCGTTCACTCTTTTCAGAACGGAAACTGTTGCATTGATGGTGAATTCTCTTTCTCCCTTTGATGTTTCACTGACTGCATTGCGATGATCCGCTACTTTTGTCTGGAAGCATTGCGAGAGCCCTGGAGCATGATGGATTAAGTAGATCTCCTGGCGAGGTCGGCCTAGCGAGTTCATGAAGTGGACAATCAGGAGCTCTCTTCTCCTCCGTTGAGTTCATACTCAAGCTTGATGCTATTAGATATTATTTTCTCATTGTGCTCAGGTAATATATACATATACTGCTTCGACTGCAAGAGCGGTACCCTTTCCTCTTGTTTAACTTATTATTAATGGATTGTTGAGTGTAAGTGTGTTATTTACTTAGTTTTTATTAAAGAACTGTTATGATATATCGGGGACGACCTTATGTGTCGTCGAGTTCGTCGTGTTACGCGGCAACAGAAACCTTAATCATCTACGTGGGTACCTCTCTTTTTTATCTTTCTTGTCCTTCTTCTTCTTGGGTTTGTAAACGATTTCCGGTTCCTGTTCCTCTTCCGGGCTGCTGGGCGCACTGCGTTTCGTCTTTTTGTTTTTGTGCCGAATCACTTCTTCGTCGTCTGTGATGCCACCCTCCTCGGGAGACGGTGATTTCTGAATAAAAATGATTTCGTTTATAATGCTGTAAGTGCGGTTTTTATACGCGATCTCAAATTTTATTATAGTGTATTGTAGACTCTTTGAAGATAAAATAAAGAATCGATTTCAAGATATTACTTTGGTATGCTTCGTCGTGGTGAGGAAAGCAAGTGAGCCTAGGCATCCTGGATGAAGCTAGAGACCACAACAACTGAGGATACTCTTGATGACAGACGGAGCAATCTTCGATCCGTCTTGTGACCATTGAACAACGGGCGTAGAATATGTTCTTACGCCTTCAATAAGCATGACGAAGACGAACCCTCAATTGCATTCAGCGTAGTTGGTGATACTCACCAAATATTACAATGAATGTACACCAAATGTAACAATAGATGCCCTGTCTTTAATGAAACTATTTCAAGCAGTCCCAACATTTCCTCAGGCAGAGCAGATGTCACGGCTCTCCTGCGGTTAAGTAGCAATAACCCGGTGTTACTTACACGTGCGGCCTCATAAACGTCCTACCACCAGCAATTTTTGCAAGTTTCATCTTTATTACACGATGTTAATCCTTCGTCATTAAAGTCGTTCGTGAACACGTATTTCCTTAGGAAAAAACAGCACCTGTCTGAGCGATTTGAAAATCGGCATAGTCGCATTACTCGATACGAGTAAATCGGACATTTTATCCTTGGGAGCAAGGCGAATATAGAACCGGATTCTGTCGCGTACTAGAAGCATCTTAGTTCGTGTTATGATCGTTAATTTTTTATGGCTAGCTACCTTATGCGCTAACCAAGCAGAAAACAATTTTTAGTAATAAGTATATTACCGGAGCAGGAGAGTGCCTCCGATGCTTCTTCTTAGTTTTCTTGGGTTTCCGGCCCTCGTCGGAGCTCCAAGTGCCGTGGCTCGGTGCCGGGGATGGCGACCGCGACGCTGATGCTGACCGAGACTAGTAACCACAAGAAACCAGATTATCTATTAGTTCTCTATTAATTGTGTGACTGTTGAGACTTGGACAGCGATATGTACTCAGCCACGCTGTTTTCCTAGCGAAGGTGAATAAAACATGTCCCTTTTTTTCCTACCTAGCTGAGAGCCTTGAGAGGATATATCAGCGTAACCTTAACTAGTAGGTGAGCTCACGGGGCTCCAGCCTGACGACGTTGGTAACACGAACCCTAGCAAGAGCCGTGCTTCGCAGAATCTACCACCGGATCGGAAACGCGACCCACTGAGAAGATCCGGCGAGAAACTCAGAGGGCTGTGTCTGAGGGTTAATTTACTCGTCGAGCCCTACGTCGCAAGCGACGGGTTCGACGAGAACGATGACCGGACATGTCCCAATAAAGCAGTCCAGTTTACGCTGGGTTTAGGCCTGGACAAAAATATCTGGAAAATTTACAATAGATCCACATCTGAGTCGCAGTAATGGGTGGAATTGAATTTGCTTTTTAGTAGATCTTTTGTTTCTCTTACTAGTAAATCCGTACCACGCGTCTGAGCAAGCATCGCTAAATGTACAAAACTAACCTCACCTGCATAAAAGTTATCATGTGTGTACTGACAGTGCACATTGACTGTTAATTGTCAGTTCATACGAATATTCCTGTCAATATTAACATCGTTAACATTGTTATATTGGGCGTTATGAGACTGATTCCTAACATAGCATCTAAATAATTGCGATCGAAAATATACAATCTAATGTTTGTTCACCGGATGCGCCATGTCAACATAGGATTTCGTGGAGCACGGAGAAGATGCCTTTACTTTAGATTACAAGTTCCTAAATATGATCTTGTTAAAACACTAATTAATTTAAAAACTTTATATTGTTTTCTGTTAGTGTTGAGTAAATCATTGCAGATCCGTTCGCTTACGGCTTTTATATAAACAGAAAGAAATGATAATATTTTCCAATCTACTGAAAGTCTTACCAAAGAGGCAGAGTGAGAACGCTTCTTCTTCTTTGATCGTTTGGACTTCTTTGGTTTTGGATGGTGATAGTGCATGCAGCTTTCTTCTTGTTCATGCTGATAATCCTGTTTACGTAACAATATTAGGGGAATTGCAAATACCCAACAAAAAAGGCACGATATTTTTTTTTTAAATCAATACTCAATTTTACAATTTTTGAATGCTTCATGGTAAGAACGGTGCCTGGGGCCATGCATCCTTAATACAAGACCTACGATTATTGCTCAATTTAATTTTGTCTGTGGCCTAAAGTATAAGATACTCAGCACGCTTATACTAAGAGATGGGGTTATCCTAGTCTATGCCTAGTGTGAGGATCATTAGTTAATTTTATATTGTTGATGCCGTCTGCGTATACTCTCAGTTTGTTAAATATGTAAATAGTATTCTAGGTCATGATTTAAGAGTTTATGTAGTAAATAAAGAAATTATTATTATTATTATAATATAAATATACTATTGAAACTGATGCGTGTCAAGATTGAATTGGTATCTTAAATATTAATTTATTTGTAGTTTTAAATCTCGATCAATGAAACTCGTTACACAGAACATATTAATCAAGTTCTTTATCATTATCACAAATCCAATGTTACGAAACAATTCTATGAAAAAACAAATATATACAATCTGACACAGCAAAATATTTGAGTTTTATGTGTGTTACCCACAGAAACAGCAACACGCTTCAACTAACGTCACAGTAGTAAATTCAACATTTCATTAAGTAAATTTGCCAAGCCAGTCAACTCTTATGTTGTATTATTATACACTTTAGGCGTTTCTCATTGTCAATGAACAATATTAGAATGGAGAGTACATTACTGGCAGAGTCATTGAGCTTCATTAAGTCAGTTTACCTTATAAATTCTAATTCTGTCTTCTTCACTGGTGACGGCGGCAAACTCTGGCGCGTTCATGTCAAGTTTCTCCTTAACCTCGCTCCACGAGAGCAGGTGGTCGATGTTTGCATCACTCAATGCCCATTTAAATGCAGATTCTATTTTCTTTTGAGCTTTCGATTCTTCTTTCAATTTCTCCTTCTTTCTAGTTTCAGCCTTTTAAGAAAATAATTATCGTTATTAAATAATAATAATTATCGTTATTATGTATCGCGTGATCTAGACAAGAATAGGTAAGGTTTCGAAAAAAAAAAACTGATTAAGGCCGTCATTTTATAATAGTAACGAATGCGTTTTTCGCTTACGTTATTACTTCAACATCGTTCGACTTCGGGAACCTATGGCCGTTGCTTACAATTACATTATGAAATAAGAAACTTAATCACAGTTAATCAAAGCAAGAGAATCTTGATCTGCTTCTTCGGTGATTGGGAAAAGTTCAAAAAATATTAATGAGCAAGGATTACACATATGATTTCAAAGCACGCTTTCCTAGTATTTTCCGCAACACATTGCTTAAGAGACTTAAGACGAACGTTGAGTTATACGACAGATCTTTGTTCCTGTTCAATCAGTGCTGCCAACTCTACCAACTTTTCGGTAGATCTACCAACTTTTAGTGTCGTAATCAAACCTACCACTTTGTAGGAAAAATCTACCAAATTTTGAAGTTTTCAAATGTTCAAATCATACCTCCATGAAAATAATATTAAAACTATATATTTTTTTATTTTTCGTAATCTTTTCAATTATCACTATTTTCTATTGATATTTTGAATATTAGCGGCCTGTAATTCTGTTTTATCATTGGATTTCTAATAAAAATTGTTCAAATATGTCTTATCCAATCGAAAAGCAAAGAAGCTGATTTACCTTCTCTAAAAGCGAATTGTAAGTAAGTTTGACATTTCCGGCGTCGAGCGAGGCGGACTTGCTGTCCTCGCACACGACGGTGGCGAACTTCTCGAACGTGGTCTCCGGTTTAACTTCGAAATTCTTGTCTTTCAGTATCTCCTTTATTATCTTCTTTTCGTCGTGGAACCTCGCTTTCAAATTTTCAACGTAAAACTTGAATAAGTCTAACGGTGTCGATCCGCTTTGTCCTGAATCATATGAAATGTTTATAATTCAAAATAAAATTCGCTATAAATTGACAAAATTTATGACTAAATTGTTTTTTTAGAAAAAAGTTAAACCTGTCGTCTAAATTGATGCATTGGGTCGTAACTCAACACTATACTGTGTATACATATTTATCAGTTACTGATATCATAACAATCAATGGTAATAAATAGACTGGAGCCAGGCGACCGTGTATGATTTATTCCCATTGAAATTTATTATTTAATTTAAATAATCCGTAAAGCCTTACCTAACATAGCTGAAAATCTCATGTCTGCAGAAATAACCGGATACAGCTCGACCCATAGAGACATCGATGTCAATTTACCTTCTTCATGAAGACTGTCCAGCAAAGCCTTAAAAAAGTAAAATAATTAATATAAAAAGTACTTCGAGATTGAAATTAAAACATTTTCGATAGGATCGCGGTGTGTAAACCAGCCTAGACTGGCTCCTCTCTGCCGCGAAATGAGCTCGCGTTCCAGCCGAAGGCCCCGGACCCAAATCTACTGTTATAGCCATGTTAGAATGGTCTGTCGGTGACAACGTAACAGTCGGTTTTTACCTACATTTGAGTTTGTCAAATATGAATTTTCTAAAACGACAAATATTAATATGTAGCTTAAATCAAGCATCTCCGAAGTCAGGCAATGTTAAAGCACCGCTTACCAAAAAGTTGTCTCTATTTTTTCTTTGTTGTCTTTTATTCCTCTTTTTAATTTGTTCTCTTTCTTGTTGATATTCAGCTTCTAAATTTCGTATGTGTTGTTCAAATACTGAAAACAAAAAAATATAAGTAGCAGAAAAATGTATTATACTAAATATGTCGTAAATTCTCTCATTACTTCGTTAAATAGCAATTAGCTCATCTGTCCATTTAAATCTATAAACAAAATGACCAAACCAAGTAATGTTTACATACCAATCAGGGCATCTTCCTTGTCCATACCTAGTAAACTAACATCATTTTTAAAAGCTGAATTTTCTAGCAATAGTACTTGTGCCTCACTCCACGTACTACTGTACGTAATTTCGCTCATGTTCTCTAATACCTGAAACATAAAGCCGATTCTAAATTTCTAGAAATGTTTTTATAACGTAATTCATTCGTATTTATAAGTAATAATCTAAGATATTAAATTATTTCATTATTATAATTTTACCAGTAATTATGACGTTATTACTGACCTGGGTTAACATTTTCATGTTCCGTTTCTTTAAAGCCTTTGCTTCTTCTTTTTCCCGTTTCGCTATAGTAAAAATACAATCTTCAAATATGTCCCTACGATCGGCTTCTGGAACACATCGCCAAATCTGAAATCAATGTTTACGGGATATTGTAATTTAAACATTTCTAGTATGGCTTTTTTAAAACAGTTAATGCAACTCATGGAGATAAACACCTTTAAAACACAAGATCGTGCTTTCGGTGCACCAGTTCTATAGTCTTACTACGTTTGCGCGAACGTCTGTACGGCAGCTATCATAGAATAGCAAATATCTGTCCGGTCATCGTTCTTGTCGAATCCGTCGCTTGCGACGAAGGGCTCGACGAATAAATTAACCCTCAGACACGGCCCACTGAGTTTCTCGCTGGATCTTCTCAGTGGGTCGCGTTTCCGATCCAGTGGTAGATTCTGCGAAGCACGGCTCTTGCTAGGGTTCGTGTTAGCAACGTCATCAGGTTTGTATATAGCCTCTCAAGGCTTTCTGCTTAAATAGGAAAAAAAAATCGAAAGACTTTATTTAGCCTTTACTTTGAATGGTGTTCAATAAAAGATTTCTTTTGAAATGAGATTTCGGAATGAAATGAAAAGGTGACGAAGGAAAACGAGATGAACTAAATAAATTTTAGGTATTGTATGAGATGAAATGAAATAACTCTTGAGTAAAATAGTGGTAATTTACAGAAAGTTTAATTACTCTTCGAAAGAAGTGAAGTTTTTTATTTTGTTTTTTTATTATTGTCTCGGCTTAGGTAGGAAAAAAAAAGAAATCTGGTAAAAACCTGAGCGTAAAAGTAATTTAAAATTTTTTATTATTTTCTATATATTTTCTTTTGTTTAAGTTTATTTGTTGTTCTAAAGTTTCAGCTTTTTTTGCCTACCTACTGCCAGTAACTTCAAGGGGTTATTCTGGCTTCACTGTATGTGTTGGTGAGCTCACAGGGTGCTCAGCCTGAGAGAATTTGCTAACAGTCCTAGCAAGAGCAGTGCTTCGCTGAATCTACCACCGAATCGGAATTGCGACCCACAGTGGCAAAGTAAAATTAGTGCCTACAAACTATGCCTGTTCAAAAGTTGTATCTGTTCACGAACGACTTCCACAACGAAACCATTATATCAAACCCAAAAAATAATATAATAATCTACGTAATTACTGTTAGCAATAACTCTTCACGGACATGTACAACCATACTTTTTATTTCTGCTGTATGTAGGGAGGGCCAACTTACTATAATACTCAAAATTCTGGCGGAGTTTCCACTGTAGTGTCTATGAGCGCCGGCTACCATACAACATCGGATAGCTCATGCACGCGTCTATGCAATAAAAAAATAAGACAACGGCTATTCTCTATGATGATATAAAAAAAATTGGTTTGTCGTATATGTATTTATTTTAAATAATGTGTTGTTGTAATATACATTTACTGCAAAACAGCAACTTCTGAGGATTTTGCCGATTCTTCAAATTAGTAAAATTGCATTACAAATCTGTGGTAAAATTGTGACTATAAAATAGTAGTTGAAATTTTTAAAGCACGAGGCTTATGGAGAATATTAAGCGGTAGGCAGCGGCTTGGCTCTGCCCCTGGCATTGCTGAAGTCCATGGGCGACGGTAACCACTCACCATCAGGTGGGCCGTATGCCCGTCTGCCTACAAAGGCAATAAAAAAAAAAAGCACCTGTAAAATACCTATTTGAAAAAATCACTTTTCTATTTGATTTTTTACTGTTTATAGTTATTATAATCAGTGTCATTATATTTAACTAACCTCTAGATTGCTGAACATTTCTTCACATTTGTAAAATTTTGTTAGAGATGTCACCCGTTCGCAACTCAACAAAAACTCTTCAAGATTCTCGCGATTTTTTTTTGTTTTCAGTCTGAAATTATTACAAACACACTGAATATTCTTAAATCATTTGACTTCAATGCTATTTTCACTTGAAGTTTTTTTTTTGTATGGCTTACATATTACAAAATTTATACATTAGATACATATCGACGCTTGAAAGGCAAACGTGACTAAGCGACAATAACTGCTTTATACATAAATGATAGGCGATAACCATATTCGATGCGCAAAAAAAATATATTTCTAGGTCTATTAAAATCATTTCAATCCTACAGCTAGATTCGTTAAAATAGATTTTTTTTCAGGTATTTCAAGTTTAAATTAGTCTACTGTAAAGTTCACGCATTGTCGCTTAGTCACGTTTGCCTTTCAAGCGTCGATATGAAGCTTCAACCCAATGTCTTTATATAAGTGACGTCATTATCGGTATGATGTCTGTGTTGTCTGGGTCTACGGAAATATAATAAAATCTGCTTAATATACAGTTTGTTCTCTAAGATTTGGATAATCATATTGTTATCCTTTTAACACACTCTTGGTGGTAAGGAGTCTTGAGAGCCCGCATGGGTAAGTACCACCGCTCTACCTATTTCTGTTGTGAAGCAATAATGTGTTTTGGTTTGGTTATGAATGAATGAACAAACTCATAAAAATATTCAACACATACCTCTGTTCCTCTCTTTCATCTTTTAGTTTTTGAGTTTTGTAAGCATTGAACGCTTGTTTCTTTTCATTGAGTTTTTTAAAAGTGACATATCGTGGATCTTTTGAAATAACTTTTACACATTGTTCCCATGTTGCATTTGAGGGTATATTCTACAAATTAAGAATTAATAACAAAAAATTTTTGTGCCTTTTTTAAATTTAAACTAAAAAAGAAGGAAAATGCTTAAAGGCTCATCATACCTTATCTTTCAGGAGTTCTTTAAATGCTTCAATAGCTTCTTTCTTGTCTTTGTACAACATCTCAGGTTGTTCTTGAGTTTCATTATTAATTGAAACTGTGTCTTCTGGTTCTACTGAAAATATTCACTGAAGTTGATTCTTTTATTAAAATATAACCAAACATCTGGTTTATATTAATATTATTTGATTATTTTGCTTAATAATAAAGTTGCCTAGTCCTAATTAAACAATGTGTCATACAGCAAAAACTTTATTATACGAGGGCGGGATGTTATGTAACTAGCCTCTACTATTTAAAAAGTTAAACTTTAAAAAATATATATGTCATTTTTAACTTCGTATCTCTGGCTACCTGTGTTCTAAATTTGAATTTGGTGGCGTGAAAATTTTATTGATTTTTTGTCATTTGAAAATATATTTCGTCAAGTGTTTTCAAAATGGATAAAATTGAACAAAGAGCGGTGATAAAGTTTCTTCATATGAAGGGCATGAAGGGGAAAGATATCTATGACGAGTTAAATAATGCTTAGGATGAATGTGCTCCTTCTTATGCCATAGTAAAAAACTGGGTGGCTGAGCTTAAACGCGGTCGTACATGTGTCCAAGATGAAGTCCGCCCCGGACGTCCAAAAAGCGTCACGACTCCGGAAATGGTCGTGAAAGTACATGATATGGTTTTAACAGATCGACGATTGAAGTCATCCGATACAGCTGATACTACAGGTATCTCAAAAGACCAGGTAAATCATATCCTAAGTGAGGAATTAAATATGAAAAAGTCATCGGCCCGTTGGGTGCCGCGATTGCTTATGCACGATTAAAAGAATATTCGGGTGCAAAAGTCAAAAGAATGTCTGGACCGTTTCAGAGTAATAATGCCGATTTTTTACGTCGATTTGTAACAACAGATGAAACATGGGTTCGTTATTATATGCCAGAATCAAAAATTCAATCAAAACAGTGGACGCAATCGCGATGCCCGGCTCCAAAAAAGCCATGGCTGTAAAGTCGGCTGGAAAAGTGATGGCNTTAAAACATCACCTACGCCTACAACATCACCATGGAAACGAAACTGTTTGTAAAATTTTTTCTTAGCAACCAATATGTAATGAATTTAATGAAAATAAAACCATTCAAAAACATAGAAAATGTTATAAAATTTGGCTGAAATACCAAACAGAAAATTATTATAAGAGTATGAGATAAGGTAATAGAAGGGAGAACAACAAATAAAAAATAATCGTGACGACGAAGTCGACGAAGTTCGAGAAGGTGATAGAGGAAGAAATGGAGTTAATGGAGTTCGAGACGGTAATTTTAGAGGAAATAATAGTAATGGAGGTAATGAAGTTCGAGAAGGTGAAATAGGAAGAAATGGAGAGTTAATGGAGTTCGAGAAGGTGATTTTAGAGGAAATAGTAGTAATGGAGGTAATGAAGTTCGAGAAGGTGAAATAGGAAGAAATGGAGAGTTAGTGGAGTTCGAGAAGGTGATATTAGAGGAAATAATAGTAATGGAGTGTAATGAAGTATAAATGCCGTAAAGTTCGAGAAGATGTTGTTAAAAGGCGAAATAATAGAGAAACAAATGAAAATGGAACAAATGATAGCAGATTAACAAATAAAAAAACAAAAATCTGATCATGGAAAACTTTGAGACTTTAAGTGTATTCATTTTAAAAAAAGTGAACTTGTGTTTCGGGAGAAATGGGTTAGTTTATAAGATTGATAGGGAAATTTAAATGCTATATACAACAAGAGATATAACTAAAAAAAAGACAAGGATAATTCATAAAGTAAGGGGGTGTTTTCAATGAATTCAAAATTAAGGGGGTGCTCTTTTTCAACCGACATAAACAATTAAGGGGGTGATTAAAAAAAAATATAATTGTTTATTAATTATACTATAAATAAAATAGATAGTCTAGCCGTGGAAAAAGTACCTACACATTATTGATACAAAAATATTTACAGTCGTTTTTTAATATCCTTTTGTGTCTCTTTTATAGTTTTGTTTTATTGTTGTTTTATAATAGATGTTAGGAATTTTGGTTAGTGTTATATTAAAATAATTGAACGGATATGTAAAAAAAGTGGGAAAATTTAGGAAGTGAAAAAATTATAAAAGCTAATAGAAAGTTATATGAATAATGTAAGGTTTTATGTGTGATGTGAATTCAAGTGTTGAGTATGTTGAAGTTGAGCGATGTTATTTGTTATGAGTTATGTGGTTTGTGAGTGGAGTTGAAGGTGATTAAGGTTAAAGAAGTTGAGAGGGAGATTAACGTTAAATAAGTTGAGAAGGAGATAAAGGAGTTTAAAGGTAAAAGAGTCGAGTAGGAGTTTAAAGGTAAGAGTCGAGTAGGAGTTTAAAGGTTAGAGTCGAGAAGGAGTTAAAGGTTAGAGTCGAGAAGGAGTTAAAGGTTAGAGTCGAGAAGGGGTTAAAGGTTAGAGTCGAGAAGGAGTTAAAGGTTAGAGTCGAGAAGGAGTTAAAGGTTAGAGTCGAGAAGGAGTTAAAGGTTATAGAGGTCGAGAAGGAGTTAAAGGTTATAGAGGTCGAGAAGGAGTTAAAGGTTATAGAGGTCGAGAAGGAGTTAAAGGTTATAGAGGTCGAGAAGGAGTTAAAGATTATAGAGGTCGAGAAGGAGTTTAAGGTTATAGAGGTCGAGAAGGAGTTTAAGGTTATTAAAGAGGTTGAGAAGGAGTTTAAAGTTATTAAAGAGGTTTGGAAGGAGTTTAAGGTTATTAAGGAGGTTGAGAAGGCGTTTAAGGTTATTAAAGTAAAGAGGTTGAGAAGGCGTTTAAGGTTCCGTACAATGGGGTAAATAGGGACAAAATCGACCTTCAGATTGAATTTTAAAATAGTTCCAATTAAATAGTCACTGCTCAACCAAAGAAATAAGTTGAGTCTTGAACGTACCTAGGTGATAAAAACCGTTACATAATTTTAATTATTCATTTTAAAGAAATAATCGGTAAAATAATGGCCGTCCCAATTTACCCAGCGTCCGGGGTAAATTGACACGGTTAAGGGTTAAATTGGGATATTTGTAAGGGTTGTCAACTCGCAGTACTGCGATATATAGGTAGGTGCCATATAATTATTTATATGGACCGAAATGATGAATACAATCCATAATTTAAGCACAATACACAATATAGTGTAAATTAAGCTGGTTTCTATTCCGAAGCGATGTGACGTGAATGATAATCAACAATACAATGATCAAAAAAAGTATGTGCATGTTATATTTTAGAAAATTATTATTTAATTTCCTTAAAAATCACAACTCTGAAACAAAATCATA